TTTTTTTAAAGTTTTCAAAGCAAAATTAAAGTGAAATGTCTCCTGATAAAAGTAATATTCAGACATATTCAGGCAAACTGACCAACTGAAATTGATTTTGGAAGACTTCTTAGTTACACCTTCAATCTGGGAAACACTTGAACAGGTGAAGTTTAACTTCCATCAAAAAAATTGGAGATGTCTCCAGAATCCCAATTCATGTGTTCTTTGTCCATCCTGTTGAACTATGAAGTGGAGAACAGGGAGGTGAGAAACCTATTCTTTCTGCACACCTAATAATGTGCCTCCAAACTCTTGCATTAAATTGTTCTATATGAATCTGCGAGTCTATGCAAAACTTAACTTTCACCAGAAGCACAGAGAGCTGAGACTATCCAAAAGGTACAGCAATGCCTCAGCAATGTATTTGTTAAATACATTCAAAAGTCAAATAAGTCCTATTGTCATCCAGATATATCTCCTCTTCTTAGCCAAAGATTTTTATCCAACCAAATTGAAATCAGAAGTTTAATGTTATTTAATTTATATTTACTGTCTTTCTGATTGTGCTTTGTTTGATGACAGTTGAATTTCAAACAATTAGTCATACAACTTGCAAATGGACTTTGCTTTCCTCTCCCTCATCATTATCCAAAAGATCACATAGATTTTACATGATGTTTGGATATGTGAGGAAACTGGTTTCATTTAGGGATTATTAAAAGTGCGTATTTTTTAAAAATCCTTTTATTTTTAATTGGCAGATAAAATTATATGCACTCACCATGTACAGCGCATGTGATGTAACAACTTAATGTCTCCTGGATTAAACTGAGTGCTAAGAAAAAGACCTTACTGGACTTGTATCACTACTCGTGTTGTGTGGCTTTTATTGAAGCTGAATCTTTGAGGTTTTTCTCTCATCCTTTACAAACTCAGAATCTTTTTCTTGCACTGTGTTTATGTATATTGTAGTGATAATACACTATAGTTTTGTTTGAATTTTGTTGAGACAGGACTTGGCTAAGTTATCCAGTGTGGAGCTGAACTTGCAATTCTCTTCTCTTATATTGGCAATTGGTATTTCTACTGGCCCAGATTGAAAATTCATTTTTTTTGAAAATTCATTTTTAAATTATGATACAAAATGACAAACTGGAGAATGTTTCAGTTTAAGATATGAAATATTTATGTTTTACCCCTACATTTTGTAAAATTCACCGAACTTCAAAAACTTCTGACATATTCATTAAAAACTAAGTTTATTAACTCTGAATTGGAGTGTCACACCCTATTTCACATTTGGCCTTATTTCCTCTTGAGCCACTTTACTTCCTGCACAAACTGCAGGGGTGTTCTGTCCACTTGTGTGGTGAGGTCTCTCAGAACCTAGCATATGTATGAAATATGTACCCCTGCCAGAAAAATCCACTCTCTGAACAAGGTTATCAAGTTTGGGACAGTAACTGTTATTCACCAACCCCTTAGGTCAACCTCATCGTTGAAAAATTGTTGTTGGTCAGTCATTCAGCAGGTAAATGTTTAAAAGAACAGAAAGAGAGAAAAGAAACTGATTTTTCAGTTTCTCAACCTCTTCCCTAGGAGGAGGAGCGGGTGGCTTGTGCAGCCAGCTGGGGAGGCGGGACTTCCTATAGGGTCCAGAAATCAACTACCAAGAGAGAAACCAGATCTGCCTGGTCTCTATTGCTGTCACCTGAACAGTGCTGGGGAGGGAGGCTGGGGCTCCAGGGGGACAGCTGCATCCCTTGAGTGACAGCAGACTGGGATATTCTAAAAAGTCAGATTTGTTTTAAAAATCAAATTCTAATGGCTGTGAATAATGAAATGGAAAGATACCTTTTCCAAAGGACAAAGTGCCATTGTGCAATTCAGTGTCAAAAGGATCCCCCACATAATCACGTTCCTTTAAAAAATCTCTAGAAATTTACTATTGGCTACTGAGGATATGAGTTTTTAAAATAATTTTTCTACACAGGAACACACAGGGTCCAAAACAACTCCTTTCAGAAAGTGTTGGCTGTTTTTAATATGGTAATTTACTACATGTTCAGGGTTCATGGCCAATACCCAGTGCACAGCATCACAGGACAACTAGCCATTTCATGTATGTTATCAGTGTGAAGATTATCCAGGGGTGGCTCTGTAAACATACTGCTAGTGCAATAAAAGATGCTCTTAAAGTTGACTAATGTAGGATTAAAACAGTTTAATTTTAATGCAGAATAGTAGAGGAGAAGTTCTAAAAATAAACCTGGACAAGAATCCCAACATCTACATGAATCTGTCCTCATCCACTTTATTCACCCTAAACAAATCTGATGATGCATCTCAGTCTTTAAGATGGGAACGAGTCAAGAGCAGAGCGCACATGGGGCTTGAGGTGGTAATGATTATGATTCACATGTGAACTGGTGTCAACCAACAGACATAAGCCACAGAATCTACACACGACATCCCCAGTGATGGCCACGCTGAAGCCCCAAATTATGAACCTTACAGAGCTGTCCATCCAGTCTCCAACACAGCTGCCCAGGCAATGATGGACTGAAGTCAGCTGGTCACTGACCCACCACCAGTTACACGATTGAAATTGGAGAGCAGTCGTGCTGTCTGTCGTCATGTTTTTAATGACCTACATAGAAATCTAAGCAATGTTTTAAGAATACCTTTTTGTTTCTTTCCATCAAATAGTGCTCCACTAATAATCTCAGTCTTCAATCACAGTCCATCTCTGATAGAAAGTCATCTTCAGTTGGGACATTTCTTTCACTATCAATACAGGGTCTTGCTATGGACCCAGGGTGGCCTTAAACTCTCAAGGTAGGACAGGTTAGTCTCAGACTAGATGATCTTGCCTCGGCCTCCCAAGGGCTGGAATTACAGACGTGCACCACACTCAGGAAGGAGAACTACTTGAGATATCTATAAATGGGCAAATTTCTTTCATTCTTATCCACACCCCAGTTTTTGAAGAGCAAGAGAACTTTCATGCAGGAGAATTTTTAAAAAGACAAACACAATTCTATGATATTTTGCGATCTTTCCAAATGCTGAATTTAAATACCACATCAAGCACACAGGAAATTATCAAAAGAGAAAAAAGAAAATGTATGAAACCTGCTTAGACCAACATCAATGTAGAAATGTGTGCAAAAAAAACCTACTCATATCCAGCTCCCACAGAGTGATTACTTACTAGGTCATAATTATTCCCTGGCCCTAGCCCACTATGTTTCATAATCTGGGATGCAGACAGTGCCTTAAACCTAGTGAAATATATCACCTAAGAGTAACACAAAATCTATAGCTCTGCAGACCACATTTCAAGAGAGAAATGTTGTCTGATCCTTACCAATTGGGCACTAAGTGGAAACTTCAGTCTGAACTGGATTTTAATTTCCCACAGCCTTCCAGACTTAGAGAACTTACAATAAATGAATCCAGGAAAGATTCTACCTAAGAAAATACGTGAAGTTATATTGCAGTGACTATGATTTTTGCTTCAATAGAGTTGGCAAAGAAAATATAAGAACCATGCTGCAATAAAGTTAAACTTTCTGCAAAGAAGCGATTTCCCTTAACAGGAGGAATGAATGCAGTGTTTTAAGGAAACTGGTCATAATCAATTACGGTATCCACATAATACTGAATTTCTGAATCCTAAAGTGTGGTCTGCCTAGATTTCTAACAAAAGAAAAAAAAGTATCTTCTGTGTGCTCAGAGCAGCCATAAAGGTCTTTAGCCCTTTACTTCATCCCTTTAGAGCCCACTTATTTATAGAGAAAACACCTCCAAGCAGTGCTTGTCATTTGTGGAAGGATGCAGAGGTACTTTCCTGTGAGAACTCTCACCCTACAATCCACTCCTTACAAGTTCAAATTCCCACCATCTACAACCTCAGGTATACATGAACATCCAGCCTCCCATTCTTTAACTGTGATTACTCGTGCATCTTTCTCCATCCATCACTAACACCATTTCCCAGTAATTTCCCTTCTTTTTCTTTTTCTTTTTCTTTTGGTCAGGATAACATGTGCACCAAAATGCATCACCCAATACACCAACCTTTATATTTAACACAATCCAAACCTTAAGCACTTAGTGTCCATCCAACATAGTGCCATGTTTTAAGGGCAGATACAGGTAAAACAAACTATCATTGAACGCACAAAGTGTCCGCGACAACTATGCTTGATGTGCAGGGTAATTTTGTAATCACAAAATGGTTACTTTGCTAAATGTCCAAGGAAAATAACTTTGTTTCCTTGTTGTAACTGAGTTTCAGGAATCATTCATTTCTGAAACTATGTACCGTGCTTTTAAAATACAACCTCTACTACCAATCTGCAAACAAACGGATTAAAAAAAAATTCTCAGTAATCTCTATTTAAAAATTGCTGATGGCCTTTAGCTTTCAATACTATTTGTGCTTTCTCAAAAAATACTAGGCAGGCAGGCAAAAAATAGGAGACGGACATTCTCAGGCAGAGGGGGAAAACCTATTCCAGAAGGAGATGGATGGAAAACCTCCTTTTGACTCAAACACAAGCCTAAGTGCCACAGCTGCGTCCTCCCTGTCATCCCTGGGCTCTGCCTCCTCAGCCAGCTAACTTACACAGGATGTGAGGTGTCCCGCGCTTGGGCATTCCTTAACACAGGGAGGGGCATCGAACAAGCAAGGGGCAGCTCTGACCCTGTGCTCTTGCTTTTGCTTCTGCTGGATCATTGCACTGCACCCCGAGGGAGGCTAAGGGGGACGCCCGCTCCGCCACGCCCCGCCCCGCCCCGCCCCGCAGGAGGGCGGTGTTGCACGTGTAGCTCTGGGGGTGGCACCGCCAAGCCCCGGGCCGCCCCCCCAGCACCTCCTACAACCCGAACATCGCGGCCTCCGCCAAGGGGCGCTGAGCCCCGAAGCCGGGCAGGAAGCCCTGCAGGGCCGGGGGGCGGGGGGCCAGCACGGGATGGGGGGGTGCGGGGAGCAAGAAACCCTCTCCTCTGACCTCCAGCGCCGCGCCGGGCTTCTTCTTGAGCTCCTCGCACTTCCTGAACTTGCAGATCTGGTGTCCCGTTTTGCGGTTCCTGCAGCTGCTGCACACGCCGCAGTTGATGAGGCGCTTGCAGGGCACGCACACCCCGCAGCGCTTCCGCTTCTTCTTGGCGGGGTTGGCGCCGCCCGCGCCGCCCGAGGACGCGGGCGACGACGCGGGGTGGCTCTGCGGGCAGTCCGCCAGGTTGGCGATCTGGAAGGCGCTGTCCGACACGGCGGCCGAGGCGGCGGCCGGCGAGTGCAGCGCGGTCATCACGATGACGCCGGGCGGCAGCGACAGCCCGCCGAGCGCCGGGATGGCGGAGAAGGTGCCCACGCGCTCGGGCAGGTTCATGAGCTCGGCCTCGGCCGCGCCGCACTTGAGCTTGTTCATGCACTCGCCCGCCAGCGGCCGGCAGTGCTCGGGCGCCAGCGGCGACAGGAAGTTCGAGTTGGCCATCTGCAGCGCGGGCTCGGGCGGCGCCGCCTTGGCCAGCCGCTGGGGGTCGCCGCGGGGGTGCGCGCCGGTCCTGCCCCCCGCGCCGCCGCTGCCGCCCCCCGCGCCGCCGCCGCCCCCCGCGCCGCCGCCGCCGCCGCCCCCCGCGGACCCGGCCGGGAGCAGCGCGGGGGCCACGGTGGCGGGGGCTGCGGACGGCGCGGCGGTCGCCGAGGACGCGGGGGGCTTGCGGCCGCCACCCGCGCCGCCACCCCCGGCGCCGCTGCCCCAGAGCATGGCCGTGGCCGCCGCCGCCGTGGCCGCGTTGTCGCAGCTCCAGGGCGACATCCCGATGCGCGCGGCGGCGGCGGCGGCGGCGCTGCCCGGGAAGATAGGGGTGGTGATGCGCGCGATCTTGGCCGCCTGCGGGAAGGCGCCGCCGCCGCTCTTGTAGAAGGACGAGGCGAATGAGCGGTAGCGCTCCATCTCCGAGTTGTAATCCACCAGGCTGCCGAGCGCGCCCTCGGGCAGGTGGCTCTCCTTGGGCAGCCCCGGCGCCTCGGGGCCCGGCCCCGGCTCCACGCAGACGTTGGTGTTCATGGTGCAAGGCGGGAAGAAGGGGTGCAGGGTGGAGGTGGGCGCCGCGGGGGCGCGGGGAGGGAGGGAGGGACGGGGGCGCGGGCCGGGGTCCGGCGGCGGCGGCTTAGTCCTCTCGGGGGCGCATTTCCACGCACGGAGAATCCCCAGGCAGCGTCCTCCTGCGCATTATCCTCCAACTGTTACAACTAAAATAAAGAGAGTCATTGCAACCCGCTGCACGAGGCGAGAGATTCCGCCCCAATGCACAGCCTCCCCCGCCCGCCGCCCGCCCGGGGCCCCAGCAGGCCAGGCCGGGTCGTTTGCATCACAATCCGGGCGACGCGCCCCCTCCCCGGGTCCCCGCGCTCCCGGCCCCCTCCCTCCGCCACCGCTGTCGCCGCCGCGAACCGCAGCTCCTCCCCCTGCTCTCCCTGCTCTCCCTCCGGAGAAAATGCATTAATAGCCTAGACGCCCGGGGACGGGGACGGCGGGCGACAACCGCCGAGGGAAAAGGGCAATTGGAGTGCTAAAGACATGCAAATCGGGGGCGGCAGGGCGGTGCTACCCAGCAGCAGAGGGCATCTAAACGTGATCAAATGTGTGAACCGGGGCTGACTGAGCATGCACGAGCTGTAAAGTAGGAAGCAGCGAGGGCCCTAAGAGGGAAATGAACAGGAAATTAGCAAATGAAGTCCTGGGAAAGTCTACAATGTATCCGAGGATCAACTGCGAGCAAGCACAATGCCACGCAGGGCTCAGAGCCTGCCCGCGTCCGAGCCGCACTAAAGAGGCAGGCAGAAAGGAACGACCAGCTGCCACAGTGTCCTTCTGTGTCTGCGGTCATTAGTTTGAATCCCAGCACAGCTGGCTCTGTTAGGGTCTTAATTCAATGGACCAAGGACGCGTCTCAATTGTAGGAGCCATTTGGTGGTGGGGGTAAGAGGGTGGTGTTTTACTTGTTTCAAAGAAAGCACGGAGAGAAAAAATGGACCTGATAATTTTTAAAAATGCATGCAATGCCTCAGGCTTTTCTCCAGAGCCTGCAGGCTCGACCAGGAGATTCTCAAGCCTTCCTAATGGAGACCTCTGTCTCTTCCATGTACACAGGAAAGCAGGAGACTTGTTTTGTTTTTGTTTTTGTTTTTAAGGATCTCTCAGAGCATCACTGAATTTGCATGGAGTAAGGAGGGGGGGGGCATCCTCTTAAGGCGCTCTTTCCCCAAAGGGAGAACCATTACAATGATTCCTTTTTGCTCTTTTCAGAGGAAAGTTTAATGATAACTAGGCATTTGCATTCATCTCTGCTTATAGGCCATTACTATGCTTCAGGAAGAGGAATTTTAGTTGCTTATGACTGAGGGGGAGGGACATCCCAGCCTTCTGAGAAATAAAGCCAGGACACTAAGTGCACAGTCACCTAAAAACCAGTTTCTTTGTTTCCAGGTTTCTTTTTTGGCCAGAATGTCTTTCTGTGACATCTGAAGCCCACAGATTGGTCTAGAAGGTGGAGTTCAAGGAATTCTAAATGGGGGCCCAGGAGTCTCAGCCTCAAATATTTAGAGCTTAAAATGGATATCAATTATAGTAATTACACTTATAATTAGACTAATGAACCATTGATGCCCAAACTCCAAGTGCAGAAACTTCAAGACCTCCTGAGGAGGCGCCCTAAAAAGAGAGGTTTATGTAAACAAATCTCAGGCAAAGTAAATGGAGATAAGGCACCTCTCCCCCGCAGGCTGGATTAGGAGGTAACAGGCGCCTTTCAATCACAGCAAGTCCCTAATCGCCCAGAGCCACCTCCGTGGTTTCGCATTAGGCAAAACTGCTCCCTTCTGTGGTCTGATGACAACACAAAGGGTGCCCCCCGAATGCGCCCGGTTAAATATTCTCCATGCTGGCATGGGGCTGGGGGGAGGCGCAGCAAAGCATATGCATATCGCTTCAGTTTCCGCAAATCACATTGTAGCCGCACAAGACCATAATAACTGCTACTCAGGAAAACTAGTTATGTCAACCATGCAGTAGATCGCGCACGCTGAGCGGAGGGCAATTTTTTCAGGATTTCAGGCTTCTGACCTTGTTCCAAATAAAGAAATAATTCACCGTCCCTTCCTCGGAGGCTCAGACTGGCGTCTGCAGACAGAACCCCGCGGGCCGTGCAGACACCGCCCCCGCCCCTGCAGGGTTTAAGGCCACCAGGAGCTGGAGGCCAGGACCGTGCCGGACTCGGGTCATCATGGTTCCCTCGGTGCCTCCCGGAGCACGGAAAAGGTGCCGAAAGCACAGCTATTGTTCGGAATTTTATTCAAAACACAAAATAAGACACACACACCCATGGCGGTAGTTGCACAGCCAGACTCCATCAGACCTGCACACTTGGAGACGCTGCTTCGCCTTTAAACAATGTGACCGTGCCGGAGTCTGGGTTTCAGACACGGGATCAAAGGTCAGCCTGAGCCTCTCGGGGGAGGGGCGGGTGCACATCAATTAATAATTTAGTGCCGCCGCGCTTTGCCTCGCCGGCGCCCAGCATGAATTATCTACTTTCACAATCCCAACGGACAGCCAACATTTAAGAGAGAGCAAAAAGGAAACAAAATAAAGCAAGAAAGAAAAAGAAGAGAAAGCAAGCCAGGGGAGGAAAGAACAATCACTTACCAGTCGCTTTTTATTTGGGGAGCCTTAGAATTTGCAGACGCGGCCAGTCTGCCTTAATTAGTCGCACATCACCCCTAACACAAAGAAACACAAATCCGGGCGCGCCTCGGCGGCTCCCAATGACAACTTTAATACTTGTAAACAAACTGCTGGGGAGAGCGAGGGGGTAAATAAATACGCCGATCAAAAAAAAATACCTGTAAATGGATTTTTTTTCTGGTTGCGGAGAGAAGGAGGAGGAGGAGGAGGAGGAGGAGGAGGAGGAGACGGCGCCGCGCAGGGGGCGGAAGCAGGCGGGCGGAGCGCGGTGTCTGCCCGGCCGGTCGGCGGCCGTGTGCGCGGGAGGCGGCGCGGGACCCTCCTGCCTCTTCCTCCCGCCCGCCCCGCCCGCCGCTCCCCCTCCCTCCCCTCCCCCCCGCTGTTTGTGTGCGTGTGCGGTGGGGGAGGGGCGCGGCGAGGTGTGCGGGCGGGGGCGGGGCGGGGGCGCGGATCCCGCCGGCGATTGGCTGCGGGCGCGGCGCGGGGACCCCCGCCCGCCCGCCTTCGTCCCTCCCTCCGCCCTCCCTCCCGCGGGGCCGGCTGCAGGGGGCCGGGGCGGCTCCGCGGGCCGCGCGCTGCGTGTGTAGGAGCGCGCGCGTGTGCAGGGAGGTGCGTGTGTAAATAAACTTGTCTGGCTTCGCCGGCGGGGCTGGCAAGAGCCGTGCAAGAAGCAGGGAAAAGGTCGCGTTTGTTTGAAGAACGCGCCCGCTCGCGCCCCGCCACATGCTTTTAAATAATCCTCCTGCCATTCCCGGGGAGACGGTTTCTCTAACCATCGCCACTGGGGCTTAAAAGTGGGCGACGGGATGGGAGCCCCGGTGCCCAGACCTGGAACCTCAGTCCTGCCCGCCACGGTGTGAAGGTGGCCAAAACGAAAAAGAAAAAAGACCAAGATAACAGAAACGCTGCGGGGATGCGGGCGACCTCAGGATCACCATCAGCCCCCCACCCTGCCCTGGCTCCTCTTCCTCTCCTTTGTCTCTCCCTCCCACCCAGCCTCTTCCCCTCTCTCCTCTCCCCACTTTTCTATTCCATCTGGTAGCTCCAAGGATTAAATCGGATTTTTGACTCACTGCCCTGTTTTTAATTCCAAACTTTTAAAAACTACTTTTAAAACTAAGTATTTTATATCAGCATGTGATTAACAATTCACTTCTTGTCACTTGGGAAAAATAGTTTAGTAATTGAAAACTAAATTTTTGCACCATAGGTCCAGGGTAAGGAAGATTCCTACCTGCAGCTGTGGGTTTACTTTATACTGAAACTCCAGGAAAGTGAATTCTGCCTGGATCCAGCCTAGCTTTAGGGGACCCACTCCACAGATGCGGTTAGGAATATGGCGGAAAATCATGAATGCTTTGAAATAATTTCTATACGGAAACGTCTGTCTATAGTGACTAATGATAAAGCGTGGGAAAGAAAAAAATTCAGATGAAGTGGGTTATAAAGCAGAATGAGGTTTTGTATTCAAATTAAAAATGTATCTTTAAAGAGATGCAATAGCTTCTCTTTCTAAAGGGAAGAGAAATATGACATTTCCTTTGTGAGAAAGAAATGTGAAAGACATTTTATACCGTTTTACATTGGAATTTTCAAAAGGCCGACCATGACCGTGTGAAACTCGGGTGACCACAGTTTGAGTGTGGGTGAAACAGTGAGACCCCGCATGCAGAAGTGGGCGCAGGGTCCTGCTCCCCAGGACAGTAGGGCACAAGTCCCATAGAGGTGCTGGGGCTCCTTGGTGCACAGGCTTATTCTGTCTTTAAAAACAAAAAAGTCATTTTAGTTTTAAGCAATTGTCATTTACAAACAAAATAATGGGACAGTTAATACGTTAATTAGACATTTTCACACTTGTGCAAAGGCCTCCTGTAAGCGAAGGAGGAAAATTTCCATTTGATTTTTTTAGTTGAGCATCATAGGAAATCTGTTGGCAAAATGCAGCCACCTTTTAATGAATAAATGCACCCAAGAAAGATGCCAGATTCTTAAACATCTTTTCAAATATTCTAAATGTCAGACTTGTGTTAGAAGTCTTGAAGTTTGTAAACAACGGTTTTGTTTGTCTGTTTTTAATCAAATAAAACATCGTGTTCTTTCATGTCAAATTTTTTTCTTTGGAAATTTTCCTTCTTGAAATTCCTTTTCTTCTGCTTTCCTTTTGGGGATCTTGAAGCTCACTTTCAAAATGAAATCTTAAACAAATGAGAGACAATCAGCTCTACATTTCCAAAATTCTCATTGTCTAGCTGATAAAAAAGAAAGTTCTAAGACAGTTTTAATAATGGCCACTATGAATGACCTGTCTGTGTCAGACAATGTATTAATTTGCAGATATTTTATGTTGTTCCTATTAGAACCCTGTGTTATGGTTGTTCCATCTCACCTGTAAAGAATTCGAGGCCCAGAAAAACCCAAGCAGCACAAATTAGTTCAGAAAGCTGAAATTTTTACTCAATCCTGACTCTACAACATCTTACAACCTCTGCCCCAGTCTCACAATCAATAACCAATTAATCAAGACACCTCTCTAGGTACAACAACCTCAGATTTAATTCTGATGTTAGACTCCTCAGTCACATAACATTAATTGACCATATAAAAGAAATTATAAACAACTTTACTTCATGGCTCTGGCATGGCATCTGGCATAGCGGTTTGACTGTATCCTTAGCCAAGTATAGGTAAAGGGAGCGCCTCTTTTCTGGTCTATTTCCCACCTTTAACTGTCATTTTGTACTTGTTTAGACACTTGCATATCTGCCTCTTTGAGAACAGTCTGTCTGTGTCCTATGTTGTCCCCTCCAAGATATCTGTCAAGGTTTTGGCAGTTGCTGCTGAGATCATGTAATTCAGGGAAGCAGTGACGCCTAAGGTGGGTTCCCCTCAACATGAGGCCTGCTAAAGCTTCTCACCACCGGAAGGAGTTTGTGTCTTTCCTCTGCTTTTTGCCTTTTGTGAGGAAGCAGCAATGCAGGCATTCTATACATATCTTGATGAGAAAATGAAATTGCAAGCTGAGTGCCTCCTGAAAAGTGCACCCTATGGTCCAGGGCTCTGGTGTTTCGCTGGGAGGTACGTTCACAGCACTGCCCATGTCTGATACCATCATCCTCGCCCCAGGGTCTCTGAGAAGC